CCTCTCTATCCACTATTTTTTGGAGGGTCACCCCACCTGATTCCCCATCACTACTCTTATTTTTTTGCGGCATCTGTCTCGCCACAGACTTGGAATCACCACAACTCGATTTGTTTTCTTGTTGCTCCTTCGGCAACAAGGGGTTGACGACTGAAACTGCCCCGATGTCCCCCTATGATCAATACCATGTGTCCCATTGTCTCTCATACTTTTCCTCCTGTAAACCCATTTGTATTTTTTTGTAGGTCCCTACTCTTTTCAGGCTGAGTTTTAGCCCAAAGAAAATCTTTGTCATAGCACAATATTATGATTTCTTGAACTAGGCAATTTCTTGCTGATTATCTCATTGATTTGATCCCCCTCCTCTTCAGGTTGCTCCTTCAACCCAAAGCAACACCCAACCTTCCGATCTTTACCTCATAATTTCGAACATCCTCGGTGTAGCATTCAACCTGGTTTCCGATCACTTCACTATCACCTGAAATTTCCTAACTTCCCATCCCATCTTCATTCTCAACTTCAGCATCGGCATTAACACTTTGCTCCTCCAACTCCCTGCTAACAGTCTCATTGGGACAAAGGGTACTCTTTAAAACATTGAAGTCAGAGTTCTTTCTTTTATCACCTTCCTCCTCAGCGTTTTCTCCCACCTCAATTCTCTCCAAATGATCTTCCATGTCCCCCTTACTTCTAAGGTTAAAATGTTGATCCACCACCTCATTAACAAACAGAAACTACACATCTGAAGCATTTTCAATTCCTTCCTTTACCTCGTCTAAGACACTGAGAACCTTTCCCAAAAGATACAAACCCAATCCTGTCAGCAGGCCCCCCTTTTTTTGGATCAATCAGTAGTCCCTTCCTTGTGAAGTGTCGATTCCAGTAGCCACTAACAGTGCTTGGGAGTCAATATTTTCTAAAGATACCTCAATCTCTGAGCACTTTGACACACAAATCACCAGAACAAACAAACTTAGTAATCACCATTCACAAATCTCTTCCTTTTTCCTTTAAGAGAGAGGGGGATCGGTTTTTAAAACTTATCACCTTTTTCGCACTCAGCTACTTAGTCATGCCTGCCCTCACCCTCTGTCCTCCCTTAAGGTAAAACCAAAACGCTTCTGATCAAGTGTGATGGGAACCTTGAGAATCAGCCCTTGGATAGCACTGTAAAAAGTCCCTCTTCAAATCGATGTTCTCTGAAAAAATGGTTGGGAAGACCATGGACAAAGATTACCATCCTCTAATGTCCTATACAATAACTCGGGTTCTCAACTCGCCTGGCCACTTAAAGCCTCGTGTGATCTCCTCTTACTTCGTCCATCAACCCAGCCTAATTCAGTAATATGCTTCTCACCTATCGCGATTGATTTAGGACTCCAAGGCCCAACCTGCTCCTTTTTATTATTAATTGGACCCAACCTCAGATCTGACGTGGCCCCAAATTGTAAATCTTCTATAATTGAATTCCTACCCTCTTTCCTTTCTCTAATTTCAAAACAATTTGAATTATTTTCCTTTTCGAGTAGAGCCCCCAAAAAATCCTTTATGAGTAACTTTTCAGTTACCCATAACACTTGCCCCTCCAACCTTTTCACCTCTCCCAACATTTCTTCTCTATGTGTTACCCATCCCACCAATAAGCCATCGTCTTCAACCTTCGAACTCTTCTTCCACAAAGACACTTCAAATTCTGTCAAGTACAAAACCTTCAACCATAAGCCATTGGAGAAAAGATCAATGGCTTGAGGAATATCACTCAGCTTTAACCCTGATATTTAAACATTCACCACCTTCAAATCAGTAAAATTATATTTAATAAGATTTCCTCCGAAAGCCTTAACGATTTTGTCTAGGGAATCTTCATTCCAGAGATTGAATGGAAGTCCTAATAATTTTAAAATGAAGCTCTCATGAGAAACCTCCATCTGATTACAGGATAAGTGCTAATGTTCAATCACCACCGAACCATCCAAGGTCTCCACCGACTCTTTATTCGATATTACAAGCTTTTCTTCCCCAACATCAAGAATAGCTCTTCGATCATCAAAAGGAATAACAAAAACAAGTGCTTGAGTGTGAGAACCAGCCATTGTAACATCTTTTGTAGTTGTAAGAACTAGCCGCAGCCTCGAAGCTTCTTTCTTCTCGCTCAAGAACAATTTTTGGCTTCCATTTGAACTAGCTAAAACAAGCATTGAGCTCATACTTTCAGAATTTTCTCCCTTTGGTTCCTTTCTAAAGAGATGCGGTTCAGGTATCTCCACATCTTCACAGTAAACCCCTTTTGTCTTCTGCTGATTTGCCTCCTGTCTCATCAACAACTCCTATAAACTATCAACAAAAACCATTCAGCCTCTTCTCTCCCTACCCTCTGGGATGCAAATCAAATATTTTCTATTAACCCTAAAGTACTCTATAATAACGACAAACCATCCTTTCATGTTTCTTGTCATTTCTACTTCATAACTCTTCCCAGTAGACCAAAGGAATTTCTCCAATCTTGTTTTTTAACAAAATGCATTGTTCCATCAACAAAACCTTTAAGCCAACCGATGGCTTTTCCTATTAACAAAATAAAAGCTCTTTTGTCTTCCCGGATCTTCATCAATGTTGTTCTATTGGTCGTTACTTCCTCAAGTACAAAAGTTTTTGCTTTAATTTCCATCTTCCTTATCCATTTCAGAGCTACTTGGAAATCTCCAGCTCGCTCCTTCATTTCATCGCCTTGTTGACAGATGCCTTGTAATGCCACCTATCAAAATGGAGAGATTTCGCTAGAATTTTGCCAAATCTCACTGATATTGTGAACCACGTATGCAACACAATGGCCTAGTTTTAGATGTTAACCATGTGCTCATAAAATGATATTAGAAGTTAAACCATAGCTTTGCCTCAATGAGTCAGAATATGCTATGGCATAATCATTTGGATCATCTTTCTTTTAACTCTTTGCATTGTTTGTTTCCAAAATTGTTTGAGTTTGTTAAGTAAAAAGGTGTTGAAATAAAGGTCTATAAAAGAAAAGAAAATTTCTTGAAGAAGAAGAGAAGAAAGGAGAAAAGGAAGAGAAGAGATTTGAGAGAGAAAAGAGAGCAATCATGTTGGCTGCCCTCTTCGCTATTATTTATAATCTAAAATAATAGAGTACAAAGACCAATATGCCCTTATAGGGTGGCTAACACATAAAACAGCATAAAACAATTAAAATAACTACTCAAAAAGGACTCAAAAAGAATGTTGTGGTCCCCACTTCCTACCTAAACAATAAATAATAAAAAACTACCACTATAGTTTACACAATTTGTATAAAACCTCAACACTCCCCCTCAAGTTGGGAGTAAATGTCACACATTCCCAACTTGTGTAGATTGTATTCAAGCTTGTTCTTTACAACCCCTTTGGTGAAGACATCAACCAATTGTAGTTCAAAAGAAACATAAGGCAAGCAAACTTCTCCAGTTGTCACCCTTTCTCTTATGAAGTGCCTATCAACCTCAATGTGTTTAGTCCTGTCATACTAAACTGGATTGTGGGCAATATTGATTATAGCTTGGTTGTCACAATATAACATCATGGGCTCCTCAGCTTTTATTCCAATCTCACTCAGTAGAGATCTCACCCAAAGTAGTTTTGAAACACCATGAGCCATAGATCTACATTTAGCCTTTGTACTTTATCTAGCAACAACTAATTGTTTTTTACTCTTCCATGAGACCAAGTTTCCTTCCACAAAGGTGCATACCCCTGATGTAGATCTCTTATCATCTAAGCAACCTGCCCAATCTGCATCTGTGTAGGACTCCAGCTTTAAATTTTCATGGTCTGAGAAAAGAATCCCTCTGCCAAGATGCTTCTTCAAGTATGCAAGTATCCTCTCAATGGCTTCCTAGTACTGAATCTGATGAGCATGCATATACTAACTCACAACACTAACAACATAGAAGATGTCTGGATTTGGATCAATAAGAGTATCAGCTGGTTTAGTTCCTAGCTTCCCAGTCTCCTGTAGTAAATACAACACATACTTCCTCTAAGAGATAAAACTCCCATACTTATATCTTGCAACCTCAATCCCTAGAAAGTATTTCAGTTCACCTAGATCCTTGATCTCAAACTCTTGTTGTAGTGACTTCTTGAGTGCATCAATCTCCTTCGGATCATTTCCTATAACAACTATATCATTTACATATACAATCAATATTGACAAGAGTGCCTCTCTCCTTTTTACAAAGAGAGTATGGTTGGATTGAGTCTGTGTACCCAAAACGGATAAGTGCTTCTCTTAACATGTCAAACCATACCCTAGGTGATTGTTTCAAACCATATAGTGATTTCTTTAGCCTGCAAACTTTTCTCTTACCAACATTCTCATAAAAACCAACTAGAATGTCTATATATACCTCCTCAAGTAGATCACCATTAAAGAATGCATTTTTAACATCAAACTAGAATAGAGGACATGAATAGGTAGCTGTTAGGAACAAGAGAATCCGAACTGAGCTCATCTTAGCAATTGGTGCATAGGTCTCCAGGTAATCAATACCATAAGTCTATGAATACCGTTTTGCAACTAACCTTGCCTTGTACCTCTCTATACTGCCATCAGCCCTATACTTCATAGTGAACACCCATCTGCATCCGACTGTCTCTTTGTCTGTAGGAAGATCAACTATTTCCCATGTCTGTAGGAGGGTGATTAGGCACTATAGGAGAGAAAGTGTGAAATGCAATGGGTTGTACAATCAAGATCAAAGGGATCGACTGCCACAACAGTTTATATCAGTTTTAGAGGACTGGTTCACTTCTCCTACCATGTTATTAGCTTTCTTATCCCATCTTACATGTCAAGAAAGAAAATAGCTAGATTACTGTTGGCCAAGACATTTTTCTACAAGTGCTATAACTCCACAGGAAACATTTGCTAAATGAATGCAACTGTACCATATTAAAGAAGAAAGTAAAAGAACAGAAGGAATCAAAAAGAGAAGTCCACTCACCAACGAAAATAGTCACTTCGAATACCCAAAGGTGCGGCAAGCAGTATATCAGTAATCCAGGGAGATAGTGGACGTAAAGGTTTTTTATCTTGTTGTGGCAGAGCTGAATAACAGGTTCCCTCCTTTGTAGAGCTACTTGTAGCATGAATACCACTGCTGCTTCTATCGACACTATTTTGGTGTTCAGCCTTGTAAATTGGGCGATTGTAGTGAGTTAATACCCGTAAAATTTCCCCACATGCCATAGCCCATTGTTCAGAATATTCATTCTGTAAATAAAAAATGTTTGGTTAGAATGTATTCCTGTCCGATAAGTTGTCTGTTCTCTATTCAATAAATAAACAGCGACGAAAGCAACACAAACATGAGCTTTTCAAAACCCAAGCAATGAGCTCAATCTAGAGTACACTATGAGAATAAAGTCCGTAGATGAATACAAACAAAATATTGATAAGCACTCTAAGATTAATATGCTCTGGTAGTTCCAATACCTCGTTGCTTGGGCAGACTAAAGAAATGAAGGAACTAAATGGGGGGGAATTCTTATTGTACGCCAATGTATCATCAATTATACATGAAATAAGTGGAAGAAGAACGGCATGCCCATGTTCTGGATGATGAAGTACAAACATTGCTGGAGATCAAGCACATGTGGAAGGTCAGTGTACTGTATTACTGCCTCAAACAAGAAATGGAAAGTAAAATATCAGACTGATATTTTGAGGTCTATCTGTTCTCATATAATATCTATAGAAGATTCCAATACCCAAAACTTCATCGAATAGGCGTTTGTTTTGTGATGGATAGTGACACCGGATAAGCTGTAATTTGGAAAAGGGAAAAAGTATAAATTAAGAAATTAAGAAAGAGAAACATCTTCACATCAGTAACAATTTATTCTTAGCAGTTTTGTTACATTAATTTCTTTATGCATGTTTTCATTTTTGTAGCCATTATGATTCAAGTAATTGGGTAGATTCCTGTTGCAAGATTTACCAACTAGCCAAAAGTAACAGAAAAATGAAAAGAAAATTTACAACATACCTCACCAATATCTTCAGCAAACCTTTCTGATGTGAACTGACCAAAATATTCAACATAGGCAGTAATTTGAGCCTAAATGAAAGATGTAAGTTTGTAAATATAGCAGAAACATGGTTGAGTAAGAGGAGAAATTAGCATGAAACCACAAATGCATGAAAGATGTAAGTCAATAAATGCCATTAATTAATAAGACCAGAGTTTCAAGATAAAAATATATTTTCTGTTCACAGTATGCATGAAACCACAAATCCTTCACAAGTTTTCTGGATACTAGTAAAAGGAAGCAAATGCCAGAGTGCTTAATCTACTCGATAGAACTAATTGCGAGTCAAAGGAGGCATTATTTCCTTTACCATTGGATGTCAAGGCTGAATATGAGACCTAAGGAGAGCACTCCAATGGATATCATGGTTGGACTATTGAGTATGTCCTTCAATCCTTGGACAGATGAAGCTTTTAAGATGAATGGCATATGTGATGGGTTCTTAGTGTTAGACAGTATATGCCCTTAGCTCCAATAGTGTGTTGTAAACTGAGATTTATTATGTATAAAATCAGTTACATTTATTACTTCATGTGCCATTTGGTATATTTCTATGAATAAAGTTGTAAATTTATGATAATTATTTAAGATTAAATGTTCTCAACCAATGGATAAACTTGGGGAGTTTGTCATATCAAGGTTGACATTCTTGTACTACCCAAGACTGTGGAGCAATTTGTCTTGGCTACTAGGGTTGGACCCAAGGCATAAGAATTGGTATTTATGAAACATTGAACAGGACAATTTGTAGTTTAGTCCTGGACCTTGGAGAATGGTGGGTTATCTAGAAAGTAGTTGCAAGTGATCTCCTATCTTGATAATGATATTGCACCAAGTGTAAGACTAATCCGCTTTTGATATACCAACCAGTGAGATCCTTCTTGGGTCAAATACATGGGCATTTGGAGCAGATTAGAATGGTATTTGAGTGAGTGATCATTGTGATAGGATCAGTGACTTTGTTGGACATAGAATATCCAGGTTTACACTATATAATGGAAACCAAAAACTACAAGTAGTGGATTTCAACTTGTTTTGAAATCAGATTTGCAAAATGTATTTATATTAATAAATAGTTTATTTTGTCAAAGGTTTGCAAATGGTTTTAATCTTGAGATCCATCTAAATGGGGAGTGTGACACTGCATTTCGCAAGTGGGGAGAGGTCCTTCCTATCAGCAATGTATTGATATTAATGGTTGAGAGATTATGTACAAGTGTTTGATTAAGCTAATCCCTAATAGACATTTCTCAATTCAGAATAATAGACTTGCATTCATAGGATATCTAAAACCCAAGTACATAATGTTAGACATTATTGGGATTGGGCTCACTTGTGCCCAAAACACTAGTGGACGATTCACTATATTGGGCCATTGTGGGCCCCACACCAATAAGGTATTGGATTTTATTTAAAAATTATTTTGAACTAAGATTATGGTGGGTCCCATGCCATACAAGGTCAATATCACTTGGGATTCTAAGAGAACCTTCTTATTTCGAGGAAAGTTGCTGAAATATAAGTTTCAGTTGTGAAATACACCTGCAATAATTCAGAAAATATAAAAAAATGTTAGAATAATGTTAAAATAACTTAGTTGCAGATGTTAGGGCCTGTTTGGAAAATTAAAGTGTTTTTTTATTTCGTTTTTCTTTCTGTTATGTTTGTTATTGTACTCAGGGGCACAAGGGTCTTTTCCCTTGTTATTTCTGCCGCCCTATATATATTAAAATAAAGGTTGGTGCCGCCAGCATTGTTACATAGCAAAACCCTTCTTTCTTCCCTCCTCTCTTCTCTTCTCTTCTTCTCCTCTTCTCTTCTCTTCTCTTCCTCTTATTTCTGGCCGGCCACACTGTCAAGATGGTATCAGAGCAGGAATACTGATTAAAGAGAGCAGATCGATCAACCCAGAGAGCAGATCGAACAGACTAGCAGAACCTGGGTGGAACAGAAATCTGATTCTGGACTAAAAAATAGCTACAACTGGTACAGTTCTCCCTGTTTTTCTCTTCTTTACCCTCCTTGGTCATGTGCCGAGTGAAAACCCTACGATCTGGGCGGCTGAATGCTATCGAACCTGTGTAACCCCTGTTTTTTTGGATCGTGAGATCCTATTCATGTGCTAAGACAACTGTAGGTCAAGGATGACCTGTCTTCTCAATGTTTTGAGTTGACTATAAGTAAGAAGGATCTCTCCTGCTGATTAGTGGCTGTTAGACATTCTGGAATTCTGGTAGGTTGGGACTGTTAAAAGTATACAGGTCTGAAATCTGCTGAATATTACCTCTGTTTTGTCTGGAGTTTGGTACTGTTTGTGCTCAACCTGATTGTTAAACCCAAGTGTGTGGGTGTGAACTGCGTGGAGCATTGTTTTATGGAGTAAGGAGGGGTCCAAAGTCCGGAGTTTGGGACTGATTAACTGCGTGGAGCATTGTTTTATGGAGTAAGGAGGGGTCCAAAGTCCGGCGTTTGGGACTGATTAACTGCTTGAACATGTCGACTGAGAATTCTGCTACTTCAGAGATTTCAGGGAGCCACAATGGAGTGAGTGGGGGAATGGATATGAGCTTTCCCATGGCTGTTATTCCCTTTGATGGTCTGAATTACCTTGAGTGGTCTAGGGGAATAAAACTCTACATCACTGCCAGGGGGAAAATAGGATACATCAAAGGGAGAGTGAAGGAACCGAAGTATGGAAGTGCTGAGCATGATAGGTGGAACCAAGAGAACAATATGGTGATGTCTTGGCTCTTGGTTTCAATGCTGCCACAAGGAAGACCTTTATGTGGGCTGAAACTGCTTGTGAGATATGGGAACAAGCGAAGTCCACCTATTCAGAGCAGAGACACTATGCCAAGATATATCAACTACAAGCTGAATCCTCTACTTGCAAGCAGGGGGAGAGGAGTCTCTCGAYGTACTATTCTGATTTGACATCAATATGGAAAGAACTTGATCACTATCAGAATGTGAATTGGAAGTGTGATGAAGATGCAAAGGCCTATAAGTCACTTGTATCATAGCAACGAGTATTTGCTTTCCTCCTAGGGCTGAATCCGTCATATGAGTCCATCAGGGTGCAGATCTTGGGTAGTAAAGACTTGCCATCAATCCAGGAGGTGTATGCCTTGGTGCAGTCAGAAGAAAGCAGAAGAAGTGTGATGAATGGTGTAGAAGGGGAGTCAGTTGCCCTAGCTGTCCGAGGAAATTCAGATATAAATGTCGGAGGTGGCTTAAAAAAAAATCAGATGATACGAGCAAGCTTTGGTGCACTCACTGCCAGAAGACACAACACACGAAAGATACATGTTGGGATCTCCATGGAAAACCTAAATGGGCATAGGATTTGGGAAAGAAATCAACAACTGATCAGGGCAAGAAACCAGGCCAGCATAATCAAAAAAGGTATAACTCAGCTAATATGGCATCGACAAAGACTAGTCCTTCAGTAACTCAGGAGAGACATCCCAGTTCTGACCCTAAGGAAGATATTATCAACTCCTTCCGTGAACATTTGGAATTGTATGGTAGGACTCTCCGCCAG